TTCTTTCTCTTTCGTGAGTGTGCAGAGAGCTTCCTCCCCTCCCCTTTTTATATAAAAATAATAATAATAATAAAATATAAATGGTTGGTGGCACAGGGTAGGGTTGGTGGCACATGGTTAGGAAAAATAATTTATATAATAATATTATATTATTTAAAAATATGATTTCAGAGTTCATTTCCAGAAAGTAATGAAAATTTATCCACAGGACCGTATCAACATTCTACGATCAATGGTGTAATCCTCATATTCATCTGATCAACAGAAAAATTATTAAAAATATAAATATGACAGATGCTAACGGACTTGATACCGTCTCAAAATAGTATTTCAGTCTCCATTATCAAAACATAACGAGACTTTAACCACAGCACAGTCTCAGCATTCTAAGATCAATGGCATAAATTTCATGCCCATCTGATTAATAGAAAAATTACTAAAAATAAAATAGTATTAGGTTTCAGTAGACTAGCGATACCGAGGCTGAAACTACGAATCGATCTCAAATCGATTCCAATCTGATCAATTCATCCCAGAATGATCACCAATCATAATAAAACTTATTTATTATCATTTATAATAATATTTTTAAAATTTTTGGGGTTTTACAGCTATGAACATAGTAGGAGATCTTATCTTGTAGCCATTTTTGGAGTTTAAACCCTCGACTGAATACAATTCAACAAGTAACCTTGTACTCTTACAATAATACAACTAAAAGCATTATGAACTAATCCTTTGTATTAGTAGTCGTTAAAAACACAACCAGCTGTTGTGAGAAATCATAGTGCAAGTTTAATTGGTTTAGTCGTAGTGCCTGATGCACATGTCATAATTCAAACTAATATTCATAAACTTGGACGAGGGAAGGTAGTGGACATTGAAGTGGATCTTATCGAGGTGGTCAAGGTAAACTATTTGGTTTTTCTATATTTAGATTATATGCATTTGTTAGACAATTTTGATTTAACTTGAGTTTGCTTTAAACTCTTGTGAACCTATGTGGTTTTTATTTATACATTTTAGAATTTGTATGACCTAAAATACACCATGTTACGATGATTTTTTGAGATTTAGGGACCCAAATTCTTTTAAATTCTGGCATGAGCTATTAGGTCATCTTGGGCAAAATATGATTTATCTGATTTTCTTAAATTAAATAAGGCATTCAAACCAAATCCGACCAACTGCATATCATAATTTTTTTCCCTTTATCTAATACGTGGTGAAAAAGCAAAACATTTTTCATCTGCGTATTCTTTATTTGCAGTCCATGTTTTTATATCACCACCATAGCGTACCTCTATGGGACCTCGGTGAAGGTACATACATTATTTATGAAATGTCGTCAATAATTTAATACATATGGCCCATGTTAGAGGATTAATTTACAATTTGGTACGCTGATTGCATTTTTATTGAAGATCAATTCTCGACGATTTGGTATGCCAGAAGCATATTGCGCCAGAAGCATATAAAACATGTTAGTGTAAAAGATAAAAGTCCGCAGCAAACTAAATTCTATATAGAAAGACAGTCACTCCCATAACCTCCGGAAGAGGTTCATCCTGAAGATGGAAATCTCCAAAAAAGTTGCACGTGCTTGATAATCACAATACTAGAGATGCGGAATGACCAAATCCAATTGTTAAGGGAAATGACGAGGATTTGGTTGACATAAAATAAGAATTAAAGTGACCACGAATTTGTGAAAAAGGAGAAATATATAATAGAAATATAAAAGTTGTCGACAACATAGTTGCCTCTACAGTTTCTCTTACTATCTCCGAAAATAATCTGGATTAATATAAAAGTTGTCGACAACATAGTTGCCTCTACAGTTTCTCTTACTATCTCCGAAAATAATCTGGATTCAGAACCTAAGTCATTAGCAGAGTGCTTGAAGCACTCGGACTAGGTGAGATGGAAAGTGGCAATTAAGGCTGAGCTGAACTCGCTAAAGTATTTTGAACATGTAGTCCATATATCCCTACAGGATATAAATCGGTCTTCGTAAGAAAAATAAATAAGAATTTTAAGGTAGTGAGATATTAAGCGAGATTCATAGCTCAATGGGTTCACGCAGAGACCCGACATCGATTTAGATGTAAAATATTCTCCTATAAGTGATTGTATTACGTTCCGTAAGTTAATACCAATGGCAGAAACTATGAATTTATATATGCAGTATATGTACGTCATGACCATATTTTTATATATATCATTAGACGCTAATATTTTTATATGAAAGTCTCCGATGGACTTAAAATTCCTCAATTGAGAGAAAACGAGAATTACAACATGTATAGCATTAAATTGCAAAGGTCATTATACGACTTGAAACATTCGGGTAGAATGTGGCATAACCGACTGAGTGAGTTCCTCCTGAAGAGGAGATACGCAAATAATAATGTCTGCCCTTGTGTGTTTATAAAGAAATCTGAAAATGGCTTCTGTATCATCTCATTCTATGTTGATGATATAAATGTTATTTAAACGCACAAGGAGCTTACAGAAGCTAGCTCATGCCTAAAGACAGAATTTGAAATGAAAGACTTAGGAAAAACCAAGGTTTGTCTCGACCTGCAGATCAAGCATTTCCCAGAAGGAATTTTTCTACACCAGTCGACCTACGTGAAAAAGGCTTTGGAAAGATTTTATATAGATAAATCTCACCCACTTAGCACACCAATGGTCGTCCGGTCCCTCGAAGTGGATAAAGACCCATTTAGACCCAGAAAAGATAATGAAGAAATGTGAGGGCCAGAAGTTCCCTATCTGAGCGCCATTGGAGCACTTCTCTATCTCGCAAATTACACCAGGCCTGATATTGCATTTACGGTGAACTTGCTAGCAAGGTATAGTGCTTCTCCTACAAGGAGGTATTGGAATGACGTTAAACATATCCTTTGCTACCTTCAAGGTACAAAAGATCTTGGACTATTCTATAAAAGAAACCAAGATATGACATTGGTGGGCTATTAGGACGCTAGCTACATGTCTGATCCCCATAACGCCAGATCCTAGACTGGTTATGTTTTTCTCTGTGGTGGTACTGTCGTTTCTTGGAGGTCTGTTAACCAGACCATAGTGACTACTTCTTCTAACCACTCAGAGATTATCACTTTATATGAGGCCTCACGAGAATGTGTATGGTTGAGATCATTGATACGGCATATTTGTGGCTCGTGTGGTCTAGCGAAAGACGATATTACCCGCACTGTCCTTTATGAGGACAATGCAACTTGTGTTGCACAAATGAGCAGTGGATATGTAAAAGAAACCATGACAAAACATATTACGCCAAAATTCTTTTATCCACATGAGCTCCAAAAGAATGGAGAAATCACCATCGAAAAGGTTCGCTCAAGTGACAATCTTGCAGATTTGTTCATCAAATCTCTACCTACATCAACTTTTGAGAAATATGTTCACAATATTGGTATGCACAGACTTGGAAGACTATCGTCTTTAGGGGGAGCAAATTCTTAAAGAACAATCCTGAAGATTGGGCCCTGAAGATCTATCGTCATATTTTTTTCTTTTGCTAAGTTTTGACCTACTCGGTTTTTCTTAGCATACACTCAGAAGATTGTCATCATCAGGGGGAGTGAATTTTTAAGACAATCCCGAAGATTGGGTCTTGAAGGTCTATAGTTGTACTTTTTTTCCCTTTGCTAAGTTTTGTCCCACAGGGTTTTCTTAGCTAAAGGTTTTTAATGAGGCAACTAATGCAACACAAGAATCTACTTATGTCGTGTACTTTTTTCCTCGACTAGTTTTTCTCCCACTGGGTTTTTCTAGCGAGGTTTTTAACGAGGCATTGACATCTCGAAGTAATGTCCAAGGGGGAGTGTTGAAATCTAAAAGATATTTTATTAAAATCTAAAAGACATTTTGTTGAAATCTAAAAGACAAAATGTATGTGGACATTATTTTGTATGTGGACTATTAACTTGATGTCATTTTATCTTCCATCATGTATCTATAAATTATACGATGTATGGAAATAGAATGGAAAAAGAAATATTACAATTTCTCTTCTTCTCTTGTCTCTTGTTTTATTTCTTTAATATATTATAACAATTACTTTTTTATTACCCAACTTTATTATTATTTTTTCCAAGAAATTGCAATGTTTACTGGAGTCCAATAAAATATGAATCCTTTTAGAAGGCTGCAATTTGAGGGTGGCACTACAGGCACACCACCAACGACAACTTGGGGCACACCCCTCTCTCAGCTACAGTGCATGGGGTCTGCATGAAATTTTTAAAAAAAATTTCATGTGGGCCCCGTGCCCTGTAGCTGAGAGAGGGGAGTGTGTCCCAAGGTGTGGTTGGTGGTGTGCCTATACCATTTCCCTTCAACTTTTTTGCTGGCCGTGTGTTGATTTCATGCGGCCCATGATTTTGGGGCTGCATATATAGCTGAATATTAGATTAATCAACAAGAAGAAAGACTATCATAGATAATTTCATTTAATTCTGAAAAAAAAAAATCCTTCAATCAATACAGATAAAGGTCGCAGCTCTATCACGTAGGAATAAATCCGGATCTCCTCTAATTAGACGGTAATTAAAAATAAAAAAATCCAACTAGCCCGATCGTTATTGCTGTATGATTTCCAAGTCACAACAGTGGTTTTTGTGGTAGTGATGTTAACACAATAATAGTTTTTAAACGATAAAACATCCTATCTCTTGAAATATGAATTAATTAATGGTACAGATTTGAATAATTGGACAGGAAAAGATCTCTACCCCCAACGGAATTCACATGTAAAATCCCAAATTCATACTAAAAAAAAAAAAAAAAAACCAAAAAACATCCTATCTCTTGAAATATGAATTAATTAATGGTACAGATTTGAATAATTGGACAGGAAAAGATCTCTACCCCCAACGGAATTCACATGTAAAATCCCAATTCAAACAAAAAAAAAAAAAAAAAAACGCAATAAGACAAGTTCACCCGAGCCAACACTCCAAAGGAGCCTATTAAAAACAGGGATAATGCATCTCATGATTCTCATCTCACAAAGAAACAAATTGGTGGGTTCTGTTCATAATGCCAACCAATCTCTCGTAACCAAGCACAGAAGAGAACAAAACCCAAGGAGGGAGAGAGACACAGAGAGAGAGAGGGGAGGGGGTGGGAAAAAAAAAGCTCACACATCTCAATGTCCTCTTCTGCTCTTCACCTGAAAGCTATTTATAAAGCAAGAACCTTGTGCTTCTGAAATAATAAGTTACATCCTCTCTCTCTCTCTCTCTCTCTCTCTCTCTCTCATATTCAAGTTTCTCACCGCTGACAATTTATTTTTAGCTCTAGAAGATAAGGTTCGAAGCAGAGAGTCTGTATCTTGTCCAATTCATGGAATTTGAAGCTTTGCTCTGCTTTGATGTTTCCCTTCTCTTTTGATTCTCTCTAGCTTCCAAACTCTGATTTCGTCTCTCTTCGGACGCTTCAGAGCGAAACCCACCTCATTTCCACGCGTTAGAGAACTTACCCATCTCAGGGAATTAAGCACACAAAACCTCGTCAACAGGAACCCAGTCTCAGTATGGCTGACGGGGATTTTGAGGAAGAGGAGGTCTGGTCTTTCGTCAAGGAGAGGAAGCACGAGGGAGGGAGAGGCCGCTCTTTCTTGGTCTCATCATCACCGTCCCCTTCTTGTTCGTTTAAAAGGATCCCTTCTTCTTCGAGGCTGATACCGAGGGCCAATGGCAATGCGGAGGAAAACGGCACTCGGGAACAGAGGCAGTCTGCTCCTGTCGACATCCCTGATTGGCCCAAGATCTACAGGTACGCCACAGTCACCGAAGAAGATGATGGTAATGGTAATGATGATGATGATGATGATCGACTCCCTCCGCATGAATGGATTGCTAAGAAGCTAGCAAGGAGCCGGATCACTTCATTCTCTGTGTGTGAAGGAGCAGGGAGGACCCTCAAGGGGAGAGATCAAAGAAAGGTGAGGAATGCTGTTCTCACAGGAACAGGGTTCTTAGAGTAAGCAGAGGTTCTCTTAGGGGGGAGGGAGTATGTGAAGAAAAAAAAAATCCTCATGGAGTTTATGAAGCCAGTGCTGTTGCTGGAAGTTTTTGTACGTTCCCCTGTGCAACTTCTCCATCCTGACAGCGCTGAGATTTTGCTTAGTTAAGATTACTTGCACATGATTGCTATGTTCAGAGAATTATGTTTTCTGGAAAAGGGTTGAGATCTTTTTGTTGTGAAATTAACATTAGTTCTTTGAGAATTATGTATGAATTTGTGCTCTATTTCTGGTAGACCTATATAATTAGTTGGTTATATTAATCATATCTGGTAGGTTAGTGGATCACAGAGGGCATGTTCACCTCAATGGCCTCATATTATAATGCATGCAAGCAAGCTACTAGCATGAGAAGGTGGAGCCCCTTGTTTTTTCTTTGGTTTTTAATTCATGTTATCTCCAAGATTATTTTTTCATATGCAGTCCTAAACTTTGAAACTCACAGATTTGTCTTACTTGAACACTAATAATGATCATGTTACATAATGATTGGTTAATTATTTGATTCAATTACTATTTGCATTATGATTTGTTTGGTTTTAGCCCTTCAAAAGTGGTTCTGCCAATAATCAAATGGCAAAATGGGCAGAAAACTAAACCTGACCACAAGAGATTATATATCTAAATGACAAGGATTGTTATATTCCTAAAATATGCTAAATATTCGCAACTAGGATAAAAAAAGAATACACTTATCTATGCAACATAAGAGACCAATAAGTGTTATCTAAGATGTTTAGCATGTAGCCATGAATCTAAGATGAAAGTATTGACAGCAGGAGCTAGCCCACATTTATGCAGATGTAAGAATAGGCATAACAAATTTGTAACTCACATAAGGTTCAACACAGAAAATTCTCTGTTGATTGAAGGACTAGAGATTAATAATCCTGTGTTGGTTGGCATGAGGTTTATCTGCCATAGGCTAATCTATCAGTTTTTAATGCAAGCAAAAGGATTTGGGGTAGTGCTCATACCAAATTCCCCCACATGACATATGGTTGGCTGGCAGTACAAGTTTGGGTCTCAACTTTAGGATTAGCAGTACAAGTCACCACTTTTTTTAGAAAAATAAAAATCATATAGACAGTTATATGTCAAAAATTGGTAAGTAAGTAGAACATGACACTCGTTTCATTATCAATTTTAAATCAGTATAAACAAGTAAAATATCAATACACACAAAATATTGAATCAATGCAAATAATACAATATCAGTGGTAAGTTAAAATAAAGTCAAAATAATGAAATCAGTGCTAAGAATAACGACATTAGTGCTCCACCAATTTATATGTGATTTTTATACCGGCCCCCATATGACTTTGGAATACAATATGTTTTGGATGAGAGAGAGAGAGAGGATAAGCATTAACAATCTAGAAGAAAGTGATGGGTACCAGCAAACAGGTTCCTAAACACTTGTAATTATGAGCCTAAACCTATTTTAAAAATGTTAGGACTCTTTCATAATACATAGAAGGAGACAAGAGGGGAATACATCAATAAGTGAAAAGCTGCAGGTCAATTAATCTTATTCATTGAACAAGTCAAATCCTAACAGAAACAAATCAGCAACCTTTTCCTCAGCAAATGGTCACCTGACAAATTCAGATGTTCTCATAAGAAAAAGCACTCCCTGGACCAGCCATACGATGCAGAGATAATGTTGTAGACCCCAGGCATAGTGTTGTAGTTCAGTGATTATGTACATTTGGATCATCATTAACCAGAAAAATACGTGGCTTATATACATTGTTAAAGTAAGAGTGAGAGAGAGTCTTGTATAAAATTTCCTAGAATTGAATATTGAGTATGTGTGTATATATATATATATACAAGTAAATGAGGGTGATGTTTGTCCTCATAACCAATATGGGACTAAACTCACTACTAACACAATATTATCAACAGTCCCCCTCAAACTCATGTTGGATAAAAAAAAGTGAGTTTGCGTACAAGAAACCAGAATTGATGAACGGGTAATGCCTTTGTGAAGAAATCTGCAAGCTCGTCAACGGATGAAACATGATGAAGTAGAATTATCTTGTCCTTGATAACTTGTTGACAGACAAAATGAGCGTCGATCTCAATATGTTTGGTCCTCTCATGAAATACTAGATTATTAGCAATCTAGATGACACTCTTTTATCACAATAGAGAGGAGTATGAGTCGTAACAGAAATACCGAAATCACTGAGAAGATGACGAAGATGAATAATCTCTTTAGTTATTGTGGATATTACACGATACCCTGCCTCGGTGCTGGAAAGAGCAATAACATCTTGTTTTTTACTTCGCCAGGAAATAAGAGAATCACCAAGAAATATACAATAACTTGTGATAGACTTTTTGATAGTTGGATCACTAGCCCAATCAACATCAGAATATGCATAAAGCTCTAACTTGGATGTAGCAGGAAACAGAAGAGAGTGAGTACTAGTACCCCGGAGATACCGAAGAATCCGTAATAAGACAACATAGTGTGCAGAATGTGGGGCACTAACAAATTGACTGACAATGCCAACAACATGAGAGATATTTGGTCGAGAGATGCACAGATAGACCAACTACCTAATAAGATATCAGTACCGGGTAGGATCAGATAGATGCCTACTATCAGTAGAGCGAAGTTTGACATTCTGTTGAAGCGTAGTATCGACAGTTGTTTCGTCAGTTAGCTCAGCGCAATCTAGAATATCTAAGAGATACTTCTGTTGAGACAGTAGTACACCCCGCGGGCCCTGAGAAATTTCTAGACCTAGAAAATAGCGAAGAGATCCAAGATCCTTAATGTGGAATTGTTGTTGTAATTAAGATTTTGCGAACTGTATACCAGCAGCATTATCACCTGTAATGATCATATCATCTATATAAATGAGTAATAAAACTCTGCCACATAATGTAGTGCGAACAAACAGAGAAGTATCTTGATGACTCTCCATAAAGCCCGCCTTGAGCACGACATCGTGAAAAAACTCAAACCAAGCGCGGGGTGCCTGATTAAGACTATAAACATCACAACGAAGAAGACATACATCTCTCAAAGGAATATTGGACACTAGAGGCAGTTGCATATATATTGTCTCAGATAAAGAGTCATGGAGAAAAGCATTATTAACATCCATCCGGTATAAGAACCAACGATGAGCAGTAGCAACCGCAAGTAGAGTAGGAACAATGGGCATCTGAGCAATAGGGGCAAAGGTCTCCTCATAATCAATACCTTGTTGTTGAGTAAAACTTCGAGCCACTAAACGAGCTTTCAGACATTCAATGGTGCCATCAGGATGATACTTGACCTTATAAACCCATTTACTACCAACAAGAGAGATCTCAGGGGGACAGGGGACAATATCCCAGGTATGTATTTGCTTAAAGGCCTAAACTTCCTCAGTCATAGCATGTTGCCACTCTAGAAATTGAACTGCCTCTTGAAAGGACTTTGGCTCAACAATAGTATGAATGACAGTAAGAAAATTATGAAAGATAGGTGAATAGGAAGTAACCAAAGCATACCGGGCATGCATGACTCTGTAGGTCGTAAAAGATGATTCTGAATTTGTATTGATTGAATTGTGTATTACAAACTAGGAATATTTTTTACACAGAAGAGAGAATAGATCTGATCTCTCTTTTATTTAACGTGGGATCTTTAGGGCGAAAGGATACCTCACTCAATGCTTGAGTCAAGTTTTCTTCCCGTTGATTCGAACAAAATTGTGAACAAACTTCCTCGCGTGGTAGAAGTTTTGCTAGAGTTCGAGTACCCGAGCTAAGATACTTGGAGGCCAAGTGCACAATTCTCTCAATGCCCCCTCCAATGCTAGGTTCTCCTCCTCTCCTTCTTTTGGTCCTTTTTTTGGTATCCATTAGTGTCTATTTATAGAGGAGAATGGTGTGTAATCGTCTCCTAGGAACATAGGAAGCGAGAACAACCACTACCATATTTCAAGCCTTAGTAGCTAACTTGGTCAAGCTGTGCAGACGGACTTAACGCTGCAGGCGGACTTGAACATTCAGGCGAACTTGGCGAGCTTGCTAGCGAGCTAGAGCAAGCAGGTGAACTTCGTAGGCGAAGTCAGGCGAACTTAACTCTTGTAGGCGAAGTTAAGTGTTCAGGCAAACTTAACTTCGCACGAGCTATCTTGGTGAAGCTTGATCGGTTCAGGAACTTGAATCTACATGGTTGATTCAGGCGAAGCCGTGTCATCAGGCGAACTTACCTTTGCCTACAGAGTCAAGTATTCAGGAAAACTTGACTTCGTCAACGGAGTAAAGTATTCATGCGAACTTGACTTTGTTAGCGGAGTCAAGTATTCAGGTGAACTTGACTTTGTTCATGAGGACTTGAATGTTTAGGTGAAGTTCTGTATTCAGACGAACTTCGTTTTTCGCGGGCGAACTTTAGGCGATGTTTAGCTTTCAGGCGAAGTTCAACTTTCAGGCAAAGTTCGTTCTTCGCGGGCGAACTTAAATCTTTGCAGGTGAACTTCAAGCGAAGTTCAGCCTCACAAGCAAACCTTTGAACTTCTTTTGTTAGGGATAAAGGCAATTTTATTTGCCTACAATGACATGTGGGTGTTTGCCTCGACGAAGAGCAATTGGAACCTCCGGCGGGGGAGATGTTGACGCAAGTGCGTGGATATCAACAATATTTTCTCGAGTGAGTGTTGTGTCCACGGGATGAGATTAGATGGTGTAAGAGAATGCTCGTGTGAGGAAGAGTCAACAGAAGGAGATGGAGAGATGTCAGGGAGATCTCGAAAGAAAAACTGAGGTAAAGAAGTGTGTGATACAGCTGACGGGGAACCATGATCAATAGAGTGGAGGAAATTGAAGTCATTAGAAGTAGAATAATATGGAGAATCCTCTTTGAACTGAACGTAACGAGATATATGAACTCGATGAGTTGCGGGATCATAACAACGATAACCTCAATTTCCAAGCTAATTCCTAAATAGACACAAGAAACAACTCTAGGGGATAATTTATCACATTCGTGAGATGGCAGAAGAACGAAACAACAACAACCAAAAACACGGACTAGATCATAATGGGGAGGATGAGTATAAATACGACTATAAGGAATAGCATCAGAAAAAAAGCTAGATGGATTGATATTAATAGTATGAGTAGCAGTGAGAATGGCATCAGCCCAGAAATGACGAAGAACGGAGTAAGAAATGAGCATGGATGAAGCAGTATCGAGGTTATGACGATGTTTACGTTCAGCAATACTATTTTTCTCATGAGTATAGGGAC